TTTAGGGTTTAGGGTCTATAGACTTTAGGAGTTTTTGAGGATCTAGGGTCTATAGAGTTTAGGAGTTTGGGTATACAGCTTAGGATTCAGGATCTCTGGGGTTGAGGAGTCTAGGTTATAGAATTTAGGGTTTTGGGTCTATGGGGTTTAGCACCTGAGGGCATAGGAGTTTAGGGTCTGTAGGGGTTAGGAAGTTAAGGTTTGGGAGTATAGTGTTTAGGGTCTATAGGGTTTAGGTGTTTTTGGGGTTTAGGAGTGTAGGGTTTAGGAGTTTGGGGTTTAGGAGTTTAGGGTTAGGGTATAGGGTTTAGGAGTTTAGAGCGTCGCGTATAGGGTTTAGGAGTTTAGGAGTTTAGGCTCAAGGGTACAGGGCTTAAGTTTAGATGGGTGTAGGGTTTAGGGTACGGTACAGGGTTGCTGGTCCATGGCTATAGGGCTCTATCAGAGACATTTAGGGGCAGCTTGGGGCATAGGGTCTACCTGCCTTGTTGAAGTACACCCTTCAAATGTGTCGGTTGAGGGATTTAGGGGTTCAGGGTCTGAAGCTGTGGATTATGGGGTTCGGGGTTCAGCGGTTTGGGCCAACTCGTTGGGCATGTAGGTTTAAGGGAACTGCAAAGCATTTCTCATCAAGAGTACCCAACAGCGGTTGAGGGGTTTAGGGTTTGAACATTCGGTCCCATATCGCTATTCGCGGTGACGTGCTTGGGCCTCCCTATTGCATCCTGGGGCACCCTAGCTGAACCAAACGCAGCAGGCTCTGCTGAAGACGGTGCCATCGCCAGGTTCTGCATGTCTGCCATCGCAAGTCACATGGGTATGAAAGTAAGCGTCAGTCTCAGTGGTCCCTGCTCTTCCGGCGTAGAACCATGAAATCCGAACTAGACAAAATCATTCGGAGACACACCTTGCTGAAACCTCATTTCCTACCCCCACAGACCCTACAGCTTGAACTCCTAAATTCCGTGCTGCCAAAGCCCTAAGCTGCAATCCCAGGCAAAAACAACAAGATCGAGCTTTTCCCTGATGCCTGGGCCGCGGACGGAAGGAACCCATGGCAAAGCCTCCCCAGTCCTAGCAGAGCATGGGGCGCAGTGACGCGGCCAACCCAATGAGGATTGAGGACATGGATTCTTGTTTCACTCCATGTTGGGTATCATGGACAACTCCTAGAACTAGAAAGGCACCTACATCCATCCTCCTTGCGAGCCCGTGGTGTTTTGTATGCGCTTTAACTGGTTAAGGAAACTCATTGAGAGTTCTGGCGAAAGCCCACAACACCGCTTATAAGGAGATTCCATTTCAGGGATCCAGGACCTACTAGGTTGGAGCGCTGCAGGACCTTTTAATTGAAGGGCTGTCTGCGGCCAAGGGCACGTTCAAACGCGGCTCGGCAGCCTTCAGGGCCTGGTACCTCAGCATGAGCTGGTAACAAGCAGGTTACGCTCAGAAACCGCAGGGCCCAGAGATATAGTATATGGGGACTACAATTGGATTGTAGTGGGCCCTACAAAGGACTGCGCAGACAAGACAAAATGCGCTAGACTGCTCGTGACAGGAGTCCGAACAAGAGGACTGACAATCATGTCAGTGCGACAATATACTGCAGAAGGCTCGGGGGTGCCCTTGGGCAATGGCAAGAATTGTGCCAACTTGCAATAAACCCTACAGCGGCATGCTTGGCCTATGTATTTTGCAATGGCCTCGTAGCAGTACACCGAGTAAACGCCAAAGGGACTGGCGACTCCTACATGCAACCCTAGGGCTCCAGTTACCTAAATAGTAGGGTGGTTTATGTAACTATAGGGTATATGGAACCCAGTTCCCATTATTTAGGTAACTGGAGCCCTAGGGCAATACTGAACACTTCAGAACTGAGGCTCCAAGTCGAGGGCTTTTTTGAGCCTGCAAGCTCAGGGAAACATCCCCTGAGGGTCCAAGGACCCAAATAGTAGGGTTTTAGGGCCCAAATACCATTGATAGTATAGTATTTGGGTCCTAAAACCCTATTATTTGGGTCCTTGGACCCTCTAAGCAGGGAAACATCCCCATCACGTCTATGCAGTGTTTTTGTTCCCTCGCGTGCCCGCCCGAAGGCTCACGGAGCAGACCTGGTTAGAGCCAGACTGAGGCTAACCCCAAAGCTTGTAACAACCAAAGCCAAACTCCTAGGTTGCTGTTAAGGAGCTTAAATTAAGTTACTATATTGGGGAAACCCTATTATATACTATATATACCCATTATGGTAACCCTAAACCCTAAACCCTTTATAACCCAAGTATAGTAGTTTCCATTTCCTTTTCGATTATCCATATATATATATATACCCATTGTGGTAACTTAATTTAAGTTCCTTATCAGCAACCCAGACTCTTTTGTGTTTCTTGAACTTCTTCTTCCATGGCACAGCGGGGCCACATCGCCTGTGGCCGGATGAAGCTCCCAACCTTGGCTATATGGGCAGTGTTTTTTTTTGGGTGGTTGAACCTAGTAAGATTATATTCCTTGTATGAAATACTATACCCCAAAAGGAAGCTATAATCTTACTCTATAATGGGTACCATAGTACCCCCAAATAAAATACTACTCATATGAGTCTTTTGCATTTTAATACTCTTTCTGGAGGTTAGGATGCTGTTGCTCTCTGGTTGTAAACACAAAGTGTGAAGGTGTGGGGTCTGTCTGCCCTTTGAAGAATTGAGCTAGTGGCCGGGAAGTGTTCAAGTCGTTTTGGGAGATCAAGGCTTTGGGATCTTGGGGTTCAGGGTTGCTCGGCTCGTGGTTTTTGATTCCAGGGCCTACAGCAAGGTCCTGTGAATAAAAGTGGCGTGCCAACTTGATCCTTAACCACCCTGAACCCTAAACAGTGTAGCGCACAGGTATGCCCAAGCTCTTAAAATCAAATTATCCATCTGCACCCGCAGAGCGCCAAACCCTCAGTCGAAGTGCTAAAGTCTATGCTGAACATCGACCTCCGGGGTATATATACATAAATATATGCATATCTATATATGTGTGTACATATATATATATACGTGTATATATATATATATGTATATGTACATATGTATATATATGTATATGTATATACATAATATATATATATATACACACAGGCAAACCCTCTGGGATCACGGCCGAGCTCTCCTGTAAAGCTGACTCGCAACGCTCGGCCTGAGGTGAACAGAACAGGTTCCGAATTACAGAGATGACACTGCTGACAACACAAGTAATACCTGCACCCTGAAAGTTTGTAAAATAATGGCCTTTATGGCTGTTATTATGGGTCAAGGGCCATTGTTTTACATGCTTTGGGGGTTAATGGTATTAGTGATAGTAGTAGTAATAATAATCGTAATTTTAACTGGTATTAGAAAATACTAGTTAGTAGTAGTAGGAATACTGATGGTAATAGCTGCAGGTCCTCCGATGTTCTTCTGGCAATAGTACCTGCTGGACTACAGTAACCAAAAGAATATGATTCCTCGATCGGGCATGTGATCCCCTCTGCCTAAAGACTTCAGTGACGCATATGCTCCCCTGGAATCTCCAAGAAAAAGCATTCTTTGCCACGACGCGCATGTAAGGTAAGTAATGAACCATGAGGGCACACTTGGGTGATAAGATGGGAGTTTCTGCAAATGACACCAACATGTTTGTAGGCCTTGGTAAGGAAGCCAGCTCTCATCTTACAATCCCTGCATGTGGGTCTTCATAAATCGAGAGGCCCCAAATAAATCTCAACATACGATGGACCCGGTGATAGGGACTCACAAAAACTGATCCTATGGTCTTTGGAACCCCCCCACATAGCACGCCGCCATCGGATTTGTGGAAGCGGGTTTGGTGGTCTTTGCTGAGGTCGCTGCAGGGAATGCCAGCGAGCTCAACCTGCTTCCAGGCATAGAACTTGAAGTTGTCCTGCATAGGGGACGGTGTAGGTTTAGGGTTTAGGGTTTAGGGTTTAGGGTACTCAGCTCCATGTGGCATACCCAAAATATTGTAACTGTCATTTTTGGCGACGATATCGGGTGAAGCAATCACCGAGTGCTCATACGCAAACATGGCATTCCTTCCAGGAAGGAAGCTGCCTGCAGCCTGAATTCTCCATAAGTTTGTGCCAGCCTGGCCAAGTATCTTCACAGTTCACACATAGTATGAACATTAGTTGCTACGTTTATGTAGTACCAAAAGTAGTAAAAAATAGTAAAAAGTAGCTGCTAGCATTCCCGTCATGACGGTTGTATGCAGTAATTTTGATGCCAGCTATCCAGCTGGTTGGTTTTCGACATATGAGTAGCCTGTTTTTTGGTGCTTGAACCCATGAAATACTATACCCCACAAGGAGGATATAATCTTACTCTATATTGGGTACCATAGTATACCCAAAGAAAATCACTACTCATATGAGCTTGATTTTTCCAGAACTCCCTCTACGCGTGTGTCTCAAAGCTTGAGGAGCTGTTTGCGGTCACTGTACAGAATCGCGTATATCTAGGACACCCGTGGTGAGACTATGCGCGCCGCAGAGTTCTCAATGAGCCCAAAGAGATTTGGATAAACTTCTACTTTCCGTTTTGTTGGCCCTTTGCTTCTCCATGTGATTGTCCATTATTAGGGTAAGACACAGGGCTCTTGGATCCCTAGGGACACCGAGGATGCATCCCTAAACCCTAAGCTTTAAACCCTAAACCATAAACTTTGAACCGTTAACCCTCAAGGGACAATGCATTAGGCTATGTGGATCCCTACCTTACATCCGGGTCCTTTGACCAGTTCGCCTCGTCGCCGTCCAGCTGCCCAAGGACCCGGCGACTCTCAGGTCCTGAGACCATCAGCCTGGAAGACAGCAGGCAAGGGAGAACTCATCTGGCCTGAAACACATCCTGAACCCTAAAACCCTAAAACAGGGTTTAGGGTTTAGATGATTCGATCAATTATTCAGTGACTGCTTTGTGTGTTAGGGCACAAGTCTCAGCAAAGCCACGTGCCAAAGTCGGCGGTGACGTTATCAATCTCCACACCCTCGTCAGGCTTGTTCATGTGCATCCATCTCCAGTCGAAGAGCTCCTTGCAGTGTAACAGGCATCCTAACACGCAACAAAGCCTTCAATGGCGCTGCAGTCCGTCCTGCTCTGTATTGCATTGTATCGCATACTGTTATCGTTTCCTTGCGTTTGCCGGCTAGCATGAACATTTCCGCAGCACAACCATGACCATTATCACTTTTAGTATCCTTTGCTACAGCCGTTTTGCTGTTCTGCTTGGATGGGCTCCCTAAACCCTAAACCCTAACACCCTAACACCCTAAACCCTCCTGCTCAGGGTAGCTGACCACGTAGAATTTCTCTTCAGCCAGCCGGACGAGCATAACTTCACTGCCGATCTTCCCCTGCGCAGTTACCACATGTGTGGATTAGGGTCATATTAGGGTTATATTGGGGTTCTATGGGGATAATGGAAAAGAACATGGAAACTACTATAATAGGTTATATGGGTGGTTGTGAAATTATGGTCCCTTTTTGGGTACCCTAAATATTAGGTGCCGTATTGTAATAGGGACCCAAAAAGGGACCGTAACTTTGACAACCCCCCACACATCTCTAGCAGAATCAAACGAAAATGTGCCTTGGTGTGAGAAGGGCATGTTCCTTGAACACATGACAAACGTGGCTGCCCGGTAATAAGCAGCCGCAAGAAGGCACGAATCCGTGGTAATGACGGTGACCTGTTGCACCGGAGCCATAATCCGACAGCATCTGCTGCAGAAGGTGCGGTGGAAAACAAATCGACTAGCGAGCATTTAAACTGAATAGCAGTGAATGGGCGAAAGTGATAGGCATATAAAGTAGGTCTGCACAATGTGGATGCTGCCTCGGAAGGGGTTGCTCGAACCACGACCCATGCATCAAGGGATCGGAGATGGCCAGGCAAGACAACTGTTTCCTCTTTAGCATGGTACTTGTTCCTTGTTCAGGACTCAAGACCTGAAGTACCTGGGGACCTCTCTGTGCCTGCATGGTATCACATAGTAGTTTCCCAAGATAAGGGGACCCCAATATAGACCCCAATATACTACAGTCCTTATTATGGGCACCCCAAAATGGTACAGTACCCCTAAGTCTAGGAAACCCCCCCAATGTCGCACAAGAATCAGACTGCTAGGCACCTGCGGCGTCAGGAAGTAGGAGAGGGCGCATCTGCCCACCTTTGGCAACCTTAGCTCAGCAGTGACAATTAGGGGTACCATTTTGGGGGTGCCCATAATAAGGACTATAGTATATTGGGGTCTATATTGGGGTCCCCTTATCTTGGGAAACTACTATGTGATACCATACAGGCACAGAGAGGTGCTTCCTGCTTAGTACTTGTAACAATTTCATAGTTGTCTTTCCTTCGTTTGCTCTGGTACAGGAAAGTGGGTTCTGGAATGTTGTTACTGTAAGAAAGTACAATAAAGGGTACTAGGAGGGTTCTGGAAGATAAGATCTTCACACGTACCGAATTGCATGGACAGGGGTTCGAACTGGGCCATGCTGTCTTCCGAGCACGATTAAAGTTTAGGGCCTAGGGTCGCTTCTAGAGTGTTTGAGACTTAAGACTTACAAAATAGCAAGGTGGAAAGATTCAAGAACTCCTATGTAGTTCCTTTCTGGGTTGCTTATGGCTGTTGGTATGGGATTGTAGCCTATTACACCAAAAGGAACTAGGTAGGAGGCTCTGGGTTAGCATGCTGGAAAGATAATAGGCTTGAATGCTGGTCAAAGAGCCAGGTAGAGCACCTTAATACAATTGGAAATATTGGGGTAATATCGGGGCTATATAGGGACAATGGAAAAGAAGATGGGAACTACTACAGCAAAATAGGGTGTGTGTGTGTGTATATATATATATATTGGAGGGTATATAGGGTTTTAGCCCCCCACCCCAGTAGAGTATGATCTCGCAAGAATTCCTAGGGTTTAGGTATGTAGGACCTTGCAGAATTCTGTGTCATCCTGCGGGACCAAACCACGAGCTACTAGTAACCCTACATCTGAAGCATCAAGAAGCTCCACTTGGATCCCAAAGAGTACAAACCACATGGTTCCTGAACCCCTAAACCCAAGACCCCAAGCCCCAAACCCTAAATAGTAGTTTCCAGTTTATCGTTCATTATCCCAATATAACCCCGACAGCCACCCTCGCCAACCTCAAGTGCAAATGATACCCTGAAGTAGCTGCAGCCAAAGGGAGCCGGTTGGGCACCAACCGGTCCATGAACTCCACTGCCCCCGGCCCGGAGACGTGGTACTTCGCAAAAGGCCAATAGCCTCAGGTGGCACGTAAGGTTTGAAAGTCGACTCTGGGTCTCCAGGCGTGCGGTCTATAATATGTAAGATACTTTGTAGGTACTTAGAAGTGCATAGAGGGAGATTGTTAAGCTGCTAAGGTTTTATTGGGGGTTCTGCCTGTGCTTTCTCCGCTTCATTCTGGGACTTCGGGGTTTAGGGACTTGAAAGCAGATCCCCCTTTTATAAGGGTTCCAGAGACTGAGGCAATAAGAGCATGGGCTTTCTAGAGCCTATTCCAGGTGGGTAGGTGCAGTGACCATGAAAAACGATGGTAATAGCTATGCAGGGCTGTAGGCAATCAGCTAGAAGATTTCTCTACCTGGGTCCAGGACCCACCAAAATGTTTTGAGGTTGTAGTGCAGCGCCAAAACACATAGAGAATGCTAGTACGGAGGATTTATGAAAGGGGGAAGGGTGCTTGGTGACTTTAAGTCTTCTAGTAAGTCTTTGTGCGCCCCAGCATGGTTTCGGCTTGCTGCGTCATGCAAAGATATCCGGCCAGAAGCGATTTTGATGGAAAGTGTTCCCCATTTATAGACTCTAGGGCTCAATGCAGGTAGTATTTATATTTATATACTTGGATCCCAAGGGGTTGGCTTTCAAACGCAAATCAAATAGAGTAGCTGACTGCTTTGACCTTTGGAGACGACACTCAGACCCTCTCAAACTGGGCTGCTGATAAGGAATCTAATCTAAGTTATTATATTGGGAAAACCTACTTACTACATATCTATACATATATATATATATAGATACCCATTTTGGTACCTTAGCTTAAGTTCCTTAACAGCAACCCTGTAAAGCATTCCTTCTTGTGTTGTTGAGAGCGCTTTGCTCACAAAGTCTCCTGCACTTATCAGGTTTCAACGCGAAGGCTTCTGAGATTGTAGCACAGCGCTGGCAACTGGGTGGTTGTCAAAATTATGGTCCCTTTTGGGGTTCCCTAAATAATAGGTGCCGTATTATAATAGGGACCCTAAAAAGGACCATAATTTTGACAACCACCCAACTCCCCCAACAATAGCCGCCCACAAAAACGTACGCCCCAGAAAGAAAACTTGGCCAAGATTACGGTAAAGAGGTGATTCCAGAAAGGGCCAGCTGCAAATCCCGCCGAAGCCGGCCATCTCACGGCATTCCTTCTCTACCAGATCCTGGAGGGCTTCAGTGTGCAGGCTTAAACTTAAACAGCCTAACATGGAAGCCTGTGAAAGGGCCCTTTGAAGATTTGTTGAAACGGAGGCCTATCGACCGTGCTGTCCTCTCCTCACCACAAGACAAAATGCTTTGCCTCCACCTACAGCCATAAACACCGCTTGATAAACCCAGAATCCACAAGACAAGGAAAATCCCCTCAACAAAACATACAGCGCCGGACGCGACGATCCTAATTGGGCCTGAAACTCAAACCTTTCAAGCATCCAAGGCCAAGCAAGTCATGGCCACCTGAATAATCCCCTTTCTCCTTGTATGGCGGCCTTCGGAAGGAACCCCGGGCATTGCCCAGCCTTGGACGAAAACTCACTTGCCATGCAAGGTTTGTGGTTTCTCACACTGTTTGGTGGATACACTGGTGGGTTGGAAGAGGAGGGTTGCACAGGGCCTTTCAGACCTTGATTGACGGATGTGCACCTCAAATTCGCAAGGAGCATCAACCATCGTCAGAGGCAGGGGTGGGAGCGATCACCCCCAAAGTCCTCTCTTGTGCCGTCCAACTCCAGAACCTCAACCTCTGCCAATAAACCTAGAAGCCATGCCCTTAACCTGAAAGACCTCAGAATTGAAATCTTAAGTCCGACACAAACCCTGTAAAGCCTTGAACCCGTAAAACCTACAAGCCCATGAACCTTTACAATCTAGACCCCTCTAGATCCTTCAAACCTAGCTGAAAACCTCGAAGCACCTTGCAAACCTATAAAGCCCGTAAACCTTTGTACCCAAGGATACACTCCCCCAAACTAACATGGAAACCCATATAATCCCCTTTTAGGAGGACTGTAGTCTTTATAGGACATTTTTGGGTTTCATGTTAGTTTCTGGGAGTGTATGCCATCCCAGCAGCTGCTCGCCGCCGGAGGCCGGGTCAAAATAATTCGCGCACTCCCATCCTCCGGATCCGTCGGGTAGTAGTAATAGTAATAGTAGTA